GGGAGGGGGAGGGGGAGGAGGAGGAGGAGGAGGAGGAGGAGGAGGAGGAGGAGGAGGAGGAATAATCAAAATCGAAACTAGATGATATCCTGACATCGAAGATCAAACTTGCCCCAAGGAACTTGATGGCCCTATCAGCAAAAAGTAATCCACAATAATGTCACCCACTTTCTGGCCCCTGGCTTTCTTCAGGGATCTCATTCCTTTCCTGTCTATCCTGTTTCTCTCCTATCTGGCATTAGGGTGTAGAAAGGGTGGGAAGGGATAGAGGAGGACGGAAGAGAGAAGAACCTATAAAGTACCAAAGAATAGCTACAAGCACAACATACTGACATCCTGTTCACAATTTCAAGACAGCTAGTGGAGCCAGGCCCATCTCTGACACTTCCCCACTATGCTCTATACAGTCAGCAAAGTGCCAACGACATGCTTTCCCTGTCCCTCACCCCTGGAGGCCAGTGACACATCTCTGCCCCCACAGCAAGAGTCAAAATTCACAGCAGTTCTTCAGACTGCAGGGCAGCAGCATCCACCAACACAGGGCCTATCTCCCTGGTCCCTGGTGCTTGCTCCAGCCTCAGCTCTGAGGACAGCCTCCCTCATCCCACTAGTCTGATGGCCTCTTATCCAGATTCATACTTGATTCCCACAGGAAGTACCTTCTCTCAGCAATGCAACAGGCATTAGCAATGCCTGCCATTCTCCTCCAGAAAGTGGCACTATTAGGAGGTGTGGCCTTGTTGGAGGAAGTGTGTCACTGTGGGGGTGGGCTTTGAGATCCTCCTCCTAGCTGCCTGGAAGCTAGTCTTCTAGCAGCCTTCAGGTGAAGATGTAGAACTCTCAGCTCCTCCTGCACCGTGCCTGCCTGGATGCTGCCATGTTCCCACCTTGGTGATAATGGACTGAACCTCTGAACCTGTAAGCCGGCCCCAATTAAATGTTGTCCTTTTATAAGACTTGCCTTGGTTATAGTGTCTGTTCACAGCAGTAAAACCCTAATTAAGACAAGATCTGAGCCAACAGGAAGTAAAATCCATGACCCCGGTCTTCAACGCTCCTGTATGGGGGGTTTCTGACAGGATGCTTCCAGCCCAGCCTGAGTTTCTGAGCAGGGTCCCAAGGGCTCCAACCAAAGGCTGCCAACATTGCAGTCTACAGCTGAAGTAAGGCAGTGTAAACAAGCCCAGAGAAGAGATATGAAGATACACAAGGCAAGACCAGCTATGTGTGCTTAGCTTGGAGCGGGCAGTGACTCCTCCAGGACAGTCCTGTTGCTTCTTCCTATACCAGCCAGTACACCAGGGTGAAGTCACAGTCCAAATGCCATGCCTCCACAGAACAAGACACCAACTGCACAAGACTGAAGGTCCAGCAGCTCGACTGGACATCTCAAGAACATGCTACAGACACCAGAACAGCACTGAATGCCAAGGGCCATCCTCCTTCACTTACAAGTCAAAAGCCACAGGATGACATCTGATGGTTTGATCTGCAGCCTCCTTGGCATGCTTGGGGCCCGAGGCCAACTCTAGTGACAACAGGCCAAGGAGACACTGAGGCTGTACCAAGCATGGCACAGGAAGCACATGTACGCTCTGATGGCTGACCTCCACTGTCAACTTGATTGGATATAGAATCACCATGGAGACACACCTGTGGGTCTATGGATGACGGTGTTTCCAGAAAGGTTTAAGTGAGGAAAATCCATTCTGAATGTGATGGCATCACCCATGGACTGGTCCCTCCTACCTCCCATCTCCACAGAAACTGCAAGTGCAAGAAACTGCTGTCTATTCTTAGAGCAGAAGGATCCGCCTCTTTGCTTTCTGGACCCTACCATGCTATCTACACATGGTGGTTGTTCTGCTGCTTCAAGGCCATACCGTAGCGGAGAGCCGGTAAATTCTCCAAACAAAGCTCCAGGGAGAGTACCTTACCTCAGCTTCCTTTCTGAAAACCTGTCAACATCTTTTCTTGTCTATATGTATACCTTAGGCAGCTGCCATCCCTTCCCCATAATGACAGACTGCACCCTCACATGTGAACCAAAACAAACCCTTCCTTAAGGCATTTCTTAATCAGAGCATTATGTCAGAGCAACAGGCACGGTCACAGCAAGTGCAGGATCCTCAGAATGAAGGCGGTAAAGAGACTGAGAAGGTGCTGCAGCAGTGGTCACAGCGAGGCTAGTGTGCGATCCGGTTCTGAGTGAGTCTGGTTTCTGCCTAGGGCTGCTAAGTGTCACACAGGAGAGGGCACAGAGGCTGAGCTGTCAGAAGGAAAGGACAACTGGGGGAGTCTATCAGAGTAGACTCCTGCCACCCGCCGCGGCCTTCCCGTCTGTCTCCTCTCTCTGTGAGGCAAGCACCCACCTTAAGGCCTGGACAAGGTTGAGATCAGCAAACTCATGCAGCTCGACAAAAGCCTGAAGAACTTTGATATTAAAATCATCCCTAGGAAAGAACATAAACAGGGGAACACATTACAGCCGAGCTCCTTGGGGAGAAAGCATATCTTGGCAGGCCATACAGGTAACGGTAACTGGCAACAGGCACCCATGTTCTTCACTGTAGCTTTGTTTTGTTCTTTTGAGACAGTCTCTCATTAGACTGGAGAAGACCTGGAACTCGGGATCCTCCTGCCTCCACCTCCCAAGTGCTGAGACGTTGGGCTCCCATAACCCATGCTCCCCATCTTTAGACTCACTGCAAAGGACCCGAGAAGCTCTCTGGAGAGAATTTCCCAATAGACAGGAACTGGAAAGGAATCCCCCATAAGCCCTCAATTCATCGACAGGCCAGCTCTAATACAACAAGTTGTGAGGCCCAGGAATCTGTTACATCCTGGAACCGTCAAGACGTCCCTGAGCAAGGCCCTGTTACAACCTCTGCTTCAGATGCTTCATAAACAGGGTTTTGATCATAAAGAAAATGAAGCAACATTATGACCATAAACCATCAAATGCACTAGTCCAGGAAAGTCTAGGGGAAGCACATCATATTAGGGGGTTTCTATAATCTGGACTGGCATGCAACTCTCTATAACCTAGGAACTATAACCTAGAGAACGCACTGGAATCCTCCTGCCTCAGCTTTATGAGTTCTGGGATTACGAGTACAAACCATAAGTACAATCATACTAGTTTTTTAAAGTTAAACATGAAAATACAATAAAAGGATTTTTAACATTTAAATAACAATAGAAAGAAAAAATGAAGTATCTGTGTGCTTCACAGGCCTTCAGCTCAAATCCTGCCTCGGACATGCTCGCCGAGGGCATGCTCACCATGTGTTCTGAGGACATCCCTAGCAGCACAAACGCCAGAGTTCACCTTCCCTATCTTAGGACTGTACTCACCATGAGGGTCAAATACCTACAGCTTCAAGGGGACACAGGAATTAGACCAGACCTGGCAGAAAATCCCGTCTGTACCACACAAACACTAGACCTAATGTCTTAAGCCGTGGCCATAGTTTAGTGTTATCGGCCCATAGGACACCTCTGCCCAGGTGGAGGTTTCACATTAAATGAAGGGACCACGGAAACAAAGCTCTGGTGGGGAAGCATGGTACTGTTATCTCCAGAGCCCCTGATGGTTCCTTAGCCTTTGTCCCCAGAAGGTGCATGATGAGACCTTCCCAGGAGGTATGTAAGGCCTGTCCCTGCAGATCACAGAGGCTGGCTCGAGTCCTCAACCTTGCAACACACTTGTCAGATGAGCCACTGAACTGGCAAAGCAGCTTGGTGCCAGGAACACTTGGGCCAGGTGTGTCCACACACGCAGGCCCCACTGCTGCTCAGTGTGGACGGAGCACGAAGGCAGCCAGGCTAGGGCCACAGCTAAGGACAAGGCCTGTAACCACAGCAGCCTCCAAACCCCAGGGAGTGGTGCCAGAGGCAGTGTTAAGGGCAGACTCCTATCCCTACAGCATGCGGGTTTGGGACTGGGGCAGGTCAGATGGCAAGACTTCTATCTCCAGCTGTGTCCTAGCAGTCAAGTGAGATTGAAATGCTGCTCTTCGGGGGAGCTGCCCCCACCTCTCTCTCTTCCTGGTTCTTCAAGACAGGGTTTCTCTGTGTAGCCTTGGCACCCTGGAACTTACTCTGTAGACCAGGATAGCCTGGAACTCAGATCTGCCTGGCTATGCTTCCCAAGTGCTGGGATTAAAGGTGTGAGCCACCACTTCCAGTTTTTTCTTTTCTTTTTCCTCCCTCTTTCTTAATAGTATTGTCTGAAGCAAAAAATAAAAATAATTTTTGGCTGGTAAACTGACTCAGTAAGTAAAGGCACTTGGTACAAAGCTTGGCAACTTGATTTGAACCCAGAACCCATTTGAATCAACTCCCACATGTTATCCTCTGATCTGCCAAAGTGTCATAGCAGGCGAGTCTCATGCACAAACCAACATTTACATTCTTAAAACATGTTTCTGATGTTCAGTTGACCTCATCTGCTCAAGCTTTGGGCATTAGACCTAAAAGCTCACGCAAGAACAGGATCGTGATGATTGGCCCTGGTTCTTTCTAAGCATTTAAAGCTTCACATCTGTGTCTTGGGCCCCTCTTACCTTTGTGTTTAGTGAGGAGCTGATGTCACATGATGTCACCTGCTGGGATCATTCTTCCCTCCCTCAGGTGTCTGAACACAGGTGCTGATTTCTCGACTCTCAGCCCCTTTCTATCACCTTCTGAACTACTTTTCTACTTCTGTTAACTGTGTATGACTGGCAGGGAGGGGGTGTACAGATGAGCTCAGGAACAGCGGAGGTCAGAAGAGGACACCAGGCTGCCAGGAGCCACTAGATGTGAGCGTCACAAACACAACTCCGAGCCTCAGCGGAGCACGTGTGTGCTTGCCTGCTGAGCCACATGTTTATCTTTATGTCAGTATTGCACTTTATTGATTAGTATAATTTTAATTTTATTCCGTAACCATAAAGCGGTTTTTTGAACTTTTTTTGTTTCAAGACTGTGACTATTTTGATCCCTAGAACCTTCCACGTGGAATTTCATAGTTAGCTCGTAGACTTACGGGAAGAAAGCAAATGGGATTTTGAACACAGTATGAGATGTACCCATCACGGTGGGGAATGCCGACCGCAACAAGGCCCCTTCCCAACCCGTCAACGCTGACAGGGTTTCCATCTCTCAGACCTCTGCACTGACTGAATCCTTCCAGGTTGCAGGCTGCCTGTACATCTTCTGTTAAATTCACTCCAGGTCTTTTCAACACTACCAGAAACAGACCTCCTTCCTGTTTGCCAAGGTGAAACTCAGAGACACACGACTGGCTGTGGTATACAGAACTTGATGCCTGCTGAGCTTGCTCGCTCACTCTTGGTCTGGTGTGCATCCTGGCTAGTTTTTTGTCAGCTTCACAAAACCTGGAGTTACTGGGTAAGGGAAACCTCAGTCTAAGAACTGTATCGCTCAGGCTAGTCTGTAGCCATGCCTGTGAGAGACTGTCTTGATTGATGGTTGTCCACTGTAGGCAGTACTGTCCCTAGGCAAGTGGACCTGGGCTACAAAAGAAAGCTAGCGCAGAGGCAGGCGGATTTCTGAGTTCGAGGCCAGCCTGGTCTACCAAGTGAGTTCCAGGACAGCCAGAACTACACAGAGAAACCCTGTCTTGAAAAACCAAAAAAAAAAAAAAAAAAAAAAAAAAAAAAAGAAAGCTAGCTCAACAGTGGAGCTGGTTTGGAGGGGTGGGTGCAGGTGAGCTGGTCTGAGGGCATGAGGACTGGAGAGCAGACCCTGCCTCCTGCTGAGGGCAGCACTGGGTGACTGAGCCAGAGCACTGCTTGAGCGCTTGCCCTGGTGGTGTGGATAAGGGAGAGCTAGCAGGCTGACTAGTCCAGCTTCCACCCAGGCCCAGTTCTAGAGCTTTCGAGTTGGCCCACCCCCAAACCTATATTATCTGTGAACTGTTGGAAAATTAAAGGGTCAGACCTGCTGATCCAAAGCTGCAGGATCTCCATGACACAGGGCAACAACAGGAGAACCAGGATCTCAGTGAGAAGCCAATATTGATGGTGCCAAAGAAGCCAGAGACCTCAAACCAGACCAATGACTCATTGTATTGATCATTCACAAGTGAAGATGTGTGGACAGAGGGAAAAACTGTGGGACACACTGTGACACAACAGAACTTCCAGGATGAGGTATTTTCTATGCTTTGTTTTGTTTGTGTGTTTTTTTCACTTAGGAGGGGGAGGCTGCAAAGGCAGAGCGTGGGTATGAGGGGATGGAGGTGCATGATGTAGAAATCTCAAAGAATGAATAAAAACTTAAAAAGAAAAGAAGGAAGGGAGGGTGGGAGGGAAGGAGTGAGAGAGGGAGGGAGGGAGGGAGGGAGGGAGGGAGGGAGGAAGGAAGGAAAGCAAGCCAGCTGAACCTGGGGCAGTGAGCAAGTCAGAGCAAACAATGCTGTGTTCTGCTTACGCCCCTGCTCCGGCTCCCCAGCAATAGGCTGAGGCAGAGATGTATATACCAAATACAGTCTTTCCTGCCCAAGTGCCTTTTGGTCTGAATATTTGATCACAGCAACAGATGATATCAGGACAACATGTATATGTATGTATGGTGTGTGTACAGGTGTGTGCAGCTACATACGTGCGGCTAATGCCAAAGGCTATGCCTCAAGCACTCTCTGCTTTACTTTCTGAGGCAGGGTCCCTCACTGACTCTGCTACACTAGCGACCTGACTTGCCCTGGGTGCCTCCCCACACCCACCTCTTGGGTGCTGGGACCACAGGCGGATGGCACCACTGCTCGGCTTTCTGTAGGATTCTCTAGCCACATGGATCATGTCATCTGCACACAGTTCTACTCCTACCTCTCCAATATGCACTCTTTTCTTTGTGGCCTGGCCGACAAAGCAGCATCAGCCACACTAAGGAGCAGTGATGACTTCCTGTTCCGCCCTCACCTCGGGCCTGACAAGTGCTGTTGTGTTGAGGGAGACCCCCTGCTAGTGGTTTATCATGAGGCAGCATTGCCTTTGCCACATTTATGAGGTGTCCCTATGGGGTTTGCTGTGCCACCATGACCAGCTTGTGCAGTGCTGCCCAGGACTTGTATGTTATACAAGCACTCTAACAAGTGATCTATATGGCTGGCGCTGAGTGAATCAGGGTGTGTGTGTGTGTGTGCACACGCGCACGTTGCTCAGGACGAATGCATGCTGAGCAAGCATTGCACCACTAAGCATCACAGGAGCTCTGTAACCAACTTGACTGAACTGACTGCCCAGCTAGGGATGCCAGAGTCAGCAAGAAAATGAGAGAATGAACACGCCTGAGTCCACTTCACTGGAGACTGTGCGGGCACGTGTGAGTCCACTTCACTGGAGACTGTGCGGGTACGTGTGAGTCCACTTCACTGGAGACTGTGCGGGCACGTGTGAGTCCATTTGGTACATAATCTTCGGTTACTGATAAGTCTGATTTGCTAACTTGTTTTTAAAAGGTCATTTCTATAGACACAGATACTTGATTGTGGCTTTTGGCTCACTGACGTCTGGTTTGGGTGATAGCTGACCTCCCAGAATGAGCTGGGGACATTCCACTTTAGATCAAGTGGTTTTAGTAATAAGCTAGAAGCAGCCCTGCCCTGACTAGGCAATGTTGGACTTTAAATGCTCCCTCTTGGCACCTGCTGCTGCCATCTTCCCATGTAGCCTCAGCTAAGTCCAGCAGCTGGCCCTTCAGGGAATGGTGATCCCAGTAATCCCAGCCCTTCAGGGAATGGTGCTTCCGGTAATCCCAGCCCTTCAGGGAATGGTGATCCCGGTAATCTCAGCCCTTCAGGGAATGGTGATCAAAGTAATCCCAGCCCTTCAGGGAATGGTGATCCCAGTAATCCCAGCCCTTCAGGGAATGGTGCTCCCCGGTAATCTCAGCCCTTCAGGGAATGGTGATTCCGGTAATCCCAGCCCTTCAGGGAATGGTGATCCTGGTAATCCCAGCCCTTAGAGGCAGAGGGAGGAAGGTGGACCTAAGTGAGAGGCCAGACTACACACACAGCAAGACCTGATCTCAAAAACCAACAAAGACAAGCAAACTAAAACCAACAGCAGATGGACCTTTAGCCGAGGTGAGAAAGTCTCCTCAAGTGACAGGGAGACCCCTGAGTAGACTGGGATATCTGTGGCCAACCTGCAGAAGGTGCATGTGCTTTCACGGGCCAGGGGGAGTAACACTGGTGACAGAGAAGGGTTCCAATGGGACCCAGACCTGCCTGCCTCTCAGTTACCCACTCCTTCTTCTGCTGTATGTGCTGCTGCATATCTAAGGAGCCCAGTGAGGTCCAGATCACCAAGTTCATACCAGGCTTCCTCCTAAGTAGGTCTTTGGTCCACTTTAACATTTGGTGCCGTAAGATTCCAAATGCTCAGGTGTCTCGATACCTGTCCTCACTCAGCCCCAAGCAACCTGGGGTCAGCGCCTCTGTCTTACAGCCTGCAGCTCAGGGGCTCGAGGGCTCACAGCTTACCTCTCGCCCAGGTAGTCTCCGATGACGGTCTTGTTCAGGCCCTCTCCTTTGTACAGAAACTGGGCGACATCCTCTGGGGAGCTCTGTAGCAGGTCGTTCTCAATTAGAAACTGAATGCCCTGAGGAACAACGTGGAATGGAACATGCAGGTCAGGAGGGCCGCTCACGATCCATTCTCAAAGTTGGAAACATGCTTTGTGCAGTAACCTGACAGATTTAGACAGCGACCTACGGAGCCCACATGGTCTGGCTTCCAGAGTACCATAGTGTGCTTCATCCATTCAAGAAAGGGCCACTGTGTTTGTCAAGCATTACACAAGCAGTTAAAAAACATCATCAGACTTGTAAAGCTTAGGGAAAACATCTTGCTCCTGCCACACAGAACCTCACTGTGGTGAGAGATGCTGTCAGTTGTGCAATACCCACCCCTAGCCAGCATCTCTGGAGAACTTGTATTTCTATGTTATGTATGTGACTGCTGTGCCTGCATGTATTTCTGTGCACTACATGCATGCCTAGCAACTGTAAAGGCCAGATGGAGGAGTCAGATCCTCGGAGACTGGAGACACTGAAGGTCTGAGCTACCGTGTGGGTGCTGGGAATTGACCTCAGTCCTCAGGAAGAACCACTGAGCCATCTCTCCAGCAGGCCTTCCCCACCTTTTAAACAATAATTTTTAAGTTATTAAAATTTTAACTTATATTTATGTGTATGAGCCCATGCACTAGCCAGAATCAGAGGACAACTTGGCATGGACTGAACCTGTCCTTCTACCCTGGTGTCCTGGGGATGGAGCTCAGATCTGCAGGCTTGGTGGTGCCTTTACCTGATGAACCACTTAGTCACCCCTACTTCTTCATTGTGATCGTATGTGTACCATGTGCATGACATGCGTGTGCTACAGTGCACATGTGGAGGTCACAGGACAGCCTTCAGAATCGGACCCTGGAGATGGAACTCCGGTCTTTAGGCTTGTGTGGCTGTACTGTTTTCTGATCTTCCCACTCTGCCCCAACCCAACGCTTTTAAATGACCTGTGACACAGGCCTGGGGAAGCTGACATAAATGGAAGTCTGTAGGGATATCTTCTACAGCCTTTCTTCTTCTTTTTTTTTTTTTTTCTACTTTGAAGTCCATGCCACGACCAGCCCCACAGCATCCCTCATGTGAAGAAAGACTGAGATAAGCATCTTGCTCCTGTCACTTGGAAGACACTTATTGCCATAGCAACTATATGAGAAAATAAACTCCACTGTGTAACCCATTGGAGAGGGGGGGTACTTGTTACCTGAAGCCAAAACCATGTTAACTGGCACACTACCACTGAGCTGACACCAACCAAATACATGCCCGCTTGAAGAACCTGCAAAGCACAGCTGGCAGTTTTGGGAATGGGTGGTCCCAGGCCTAAATCAGCTGCACTTCACCAGCTCACAGGACTTCTGAACCCACCACAATAGCAAGCCTCACCTTTCACACAACTTGAGAGTTGGTTTATTCGAAGCTACCTTACACAGGCTGGGGAAAGCACATGGCATTCTGCTATCCATGTGCCAAGGGGCGTTTCTACGAACTCAGAGAGGCTTTTCCAGCTGAAACTCCCAGGCCTCAGCCTGCTGTGGCTTCCTCATACACCCACAGTCCATCTGGCAGCCATATTTAGCATTTCCAAAAACTTCAGACAGCAACAGACAACCAGTAAGAGAAAGGATAAAGATAGAAGGTGGAAGATTGCAACTAGGTGGAGAGAACAAACTGAACGAGAGCTCACAGACCTGGGACACAGCAAAAGACAGCGCAAGAGCACACGTGTAAATACATGTGATGACTGTGTGCATGGTGCAGACCTGTGGATGTATACATGCAGATGCTAGGGCATGGAGGCCCTAGGCTGCCGTCATGTCTTCCTTGACTGTGCTCCATTTTTAATTGACTGAGGCAGGGTCTCCCACTGAAACTAGAGCTACCAATTCTAGTCAGTCGCTTTAGCTCTCGTGACCAGGCCTTTCCTGTCTGCCTCTCCAGTGTGGGGCCACTATGCCTGCTCCAGTCTTAGGTTGATTCGGAGGGTCAATCTCTGGTCCTCAGGCTTACACAGGAAGCTCCACATCCACTGAACTCACCTCCCCATCCCCAGGAAGGTATATTTTCATTCTGCTTACGCAAGGTTTAAAAAAAGAAATCCTAATTTTGGTGATAGTGTGGGATACCTGGGGGAATGGATTTCAGAGGCAGTGGCCCCAGACAGGTGGCCTACAATGTTCTGCAAGTACAATTGGTTCTGGGTTGAGGGTTTTGTTTCTTAATTTGTCAGGAAGCTTCAAGACTTACATTTAAAATTTGTGGGCCATGTAATGTGCCATTTAAAGCTAAGTTAACTCTTGTGTGTTCCTGGTAGGAATGGGACGAGCATGTCACCAGGGTGCTACTGTGAAAGCCTCACACTACACACTCCATTGTGGCCGTGGGAACACACTCGTGCTGGAGTATGGGCTAAAAACCAACCTCACTGCTGCTTTGTGTGGCTTGTTCTCTAACCATCCAGGTGAGGAGAATTAGGAGAACTTAGAGATGGTGAGCCAGGAGCCAGGAGCCAGCAGCCAACAGGGCAGGGATACCCTTGGGGCTGGCAAGAGAGGGGCAATAACCACAGGAAGTTAGGTAGGAGTTTACTGTCTAACACCTCAGGATCAAAGGTCAGTACAACAGCATTATATAACCCTTGCTAAGAATATCAGGATTTATAAGACTAAACAGTAAGTGTAAACTAGTAAGTCTTGCTATTCTGAAATTTGCCAAGGGAAGGGAAGAAGGCATCTATCTGAAAGCACCCAGGATTCTGGAACAAAAGGCTCACAGAAGCAGAGTCTAAAGTGAGTCTGGTCCAGGCCTGGTTCCTGGAGACTCCTTTCACTATGATAGCAGAGAATGAGTTTGTAGTCACCCCCCCTCAAAAAGCCCGATGACCACTAGGCAGACGGAAAGTCCCAGGATCCTTAAGAGGTTCTTGTATCTTTGCCCTCTGGCTTTTTCTCCTCTCCTACTTGTGCTGGGGCTCCAGGGTCTGTGGTCTTAAGGCTGAGTGCCAGACCCTGGAACCCCAGGCCTCTACCAGGTCACAGTGACTTTGTGAAACACACTGTATAGACAGATGCTCAGGACCTGCCCTGAGTCTCCATTCTCCCAAAGAACTAGGTCACTGTAAGAGCTGATCTTGACTATCAGCCTGACAGCACTTAGAATCACCTAGGAGAAAAAGCTTGTCTGTGAGGGAGTCTCAAGAGACTTTGAACTGAGAGGGGAAGGCCCCACTTTGAATGTGGATGGCACTCCTTCCACAGGCTGGTGCCTGGACTGAATTAAAAATGAGAAGGCTAGCTGAGAACCAGCATTCATGTCTCATGATTGTGGGTGCAGTATGAGCTTCGGCCACCATGCCTTCCCACGATGGACTGACCCTTGACCTGTGAGCCCATGTGACTCTTCCTTGCTGAGGTCTACTCTGCCAGGCACTTTGTCACAGCAGCAAGAAAAGGAATCAGTACAACTGTCTGGGGAGACGAGAGAAAGCCAAATGGTCAGAGCAAGGTCATTTCCGGCTGACTTCACAGAGGAAACAAGTCATTTCCGGCTGACGTCACAGAGGGAGGGACATGAGGAGGAGCCTAGCAAAGGGCTCTCTCTGCAAGAGACACAAACCTAATCATGGGAAACAGGGAGCTGCTGGGGAGCTCAGGGCAGAGACCTACGATGGTTAATCTCGTCAACTGACTGGACTGAGAGACACCTCGGTCAGTGAAGGACACCGCTGGGTATCTGTGCACTCTCAGACAAGATTAGATTGGACTAGACTACATTTTGAGGGTTCTGACCTTAGGATTCTTCACGATTGACAGGTTGAAGGCAGCAGAGCTGTGGAAGATGGGGTCTGGTTACAGGAAGTGGGCTGATGGAGGCGTGTCTTTGAAGGGTCTATCTGGCCCCTTCCTGCTGCTTTTCTCTGCTTCCTGTCTCTATGAGCAAAAGGCCTCTGCCACCTGCCAGCACATAATGTTCTGCCTTCTCTCAGGCTCAAAGTATCCAGATGATGGTAGCTGAAACTCTAAAACCATGGGCCCAATCTTATCGTTTTCCTTTAAACTTTGCTCAGTGATAAAATGTCTGACAAAAATTAAGCACAGTAGTCAAAAACCAGAGACTCCAGAGATATACAGAGAAACCCTGTCTCGAAAAACCAAAAAAAAAAAAAAAGCCAGAGGCCAAGCAAGTGGGTGTAAGAAAGGTCCCGTTGTGATGAGACACAGAAAGCAGAGGCCACAGGAACAGGCCTGCTTTGAGTTCAGTGATGAATGTCCTTAAAAGAGCAGTTAAGCCAGGTGTGGTGGCACAGGTCTATAATCTCAGCACTTCAGAGGCTAAGGCAGGATGATCATGAGTTCTAGGCCAGCCTGGACTACACAGCAAAAGGGAAGGTGCACAGAGGCTGGAGGCTACGTTCACAGCTAAGGTACCCCCGCTGCCAATCACCTGCAGCGAGGAGAGAGGCCTGGACAGACTCTCCATCCACGTTTGAAAGGTATTCTCCTTGGACCTTCAGCTTGGACTCCTCGCCTCCTGTACGAGGATATATTTCTGTGTCTTAAGTCATCTAGTTTGTGGTACTTTGTTACAGAAGGTATAGGGTACTAGACATTAAACAATTACTTATAAAAGAAATCAAACACCTCATTAGTAAAAACAAACCTTGGAGACAGAGCTTCAGTGTGTAGCCCTGGCTGGTCTGGAACTCACTTTGTGGACCAGGATGGTCTTGAACTGAGTGATCTGTCTGCATCTGCCTCCTGCCTCCACCTCCCGAGTACTGGGATAAAGGCCTGTGCTAACATACCCAGCAGAAAAATTAATATTAAACAAAGTCAACAGCAGGAACGGGGGCACGTGCTCAGCCGTTAGCCCAGCGCCTCTTCTTGTCTCTTCATTTCAGCCTTCCCCTAAGGGTGTCTCAATTAAGGTGCTGGTGTGTGTCCTTATGTGTATGTGTGCTTTGCCTCCATGTACACCTGTGCACCACATGCACACAAAGGCCAGAAAGGGCTTCAAGTTCTCTGGAACTGGAGTCATAGTGGATGCAAGCCACCATGTGAGTGCTGGGTTTCCAACCTGCAAGCATTGACCCCACTGAACCACCTCTCCAGTCCCTGCTGGCATTTACTTGTAACCTTGGTAATTTAGCCAAGTCAAGTTTCTGGTGGGCAGCGGTCTGTTAGAATTTACTCCTTTCATCTCTTAGCTGGTACATTTTTGGGGTCTTTCGGAAGGAAGAGTTTGTGAAAGGATCCCACTGTGTAGCCCAGGAGGCCACCACACCTATCATGATCATGCCTTCTTCATTTTACCTTCTCTGGTAGTTTATAAGCCTTATTTCATCCCTATTTTTAATGGCAACCCAAAATCTTGACATTTAAACCTGTACATACCTAGAAAACCCCATCCATCTTTTCTCCTCTCCTTTTCTCCTTCCTTATACAATATACTGAGTGAATTTGGGACTCCTAAAATACATTTTTTTTCACACAATCCTTTTCTTGTTTAGACCTGGGTTTTGTTGGTTTCCTTTTCTATCTTTTTTGTGACTGTTTTAGGAGACAGTGTCATACTCTATGGTCCAGCTGATCCTGAATTTTATGATCCTCCTGTCTCAGCCTCCCCAGTGCTGAGGTTATAAACATGGGCCAGCACCCATGGCTCAGTGTACCTTCTGTATTCTGGGTGTGCTTCTTGTCTTTAGGTATATTTACTCAGTGTCTCAATGAATAACCAGACAAGGTCTTACTGTCTGACTTTTTGAGTCCCTGCGTATCTAAAACTGTCACTGTTTTTTTTTTTTTCATTAGGGACAGTCTGGACAGAGTTCTCAATTTTAAATCATTTCTCTCCTTAAACCTTAGAAGATACTGTTTCGCTACTGTGCCTGACACAGCATTCTCTGGTAATTCAGCTCCAGACTTCCTTGATCTAATCAAGCCTTTCCTTTTTTATTTATAAACCCCAGTGCTACTTCTAGACTCCAGCCCACTGAACAAAACCAAACCTCCTTGCTTAAAGTGTCGTAGCTCGGAGGCTGACAATCCCTCCAACCTGAGACTAGTCACTCTGGCATTTCCTTTGCTTTCACGAGGTAACATGGCGCCCTAAGACATAGGCATAAATAGTGCTCTCAGTGCTACAAACTGAGATTATCTGCTGTGTCTATGGACTAAATGTGTGTGTCCCTCAAGATTCACACATTGAGGCCCAAACCTGCAACAGCCTGTGCAGGCAGAAACCGTGGGGAAATCAGAGTGAGACAAATTCATGTGGCCGAGGTGCCGGGGTCAGGGCGTACAGCCTCCTGAGAATAGAAGCTCTAAACGCAGCTTCTTCCACGGCCTCGTCACGTGAAGACTCAGAAAGAAGGCTGCCCTCGGCATTGAGGAAAGGACCTCAGGGAACACAAGCACGTGAGCACCCATGAGCTCAGACCTGCAACCGGGAGAGCTGCGAGAAGAAAAAATGTCTGTGGTTTCCGCCCCCAGCCTGGGTGTTGTTCATTTACACGCATGCCAGTTATTATGCATCCCAGGCTGGCCTCCAGCCGGCTTTGTAGGTCAAGACAACAGTGAGCTCCTGATCCTCTGGCCCTCCTGTTTCTACCTTCCAGCACTGGGCTTACAGCCTCGCTCTAGAAGCCTGGTTTTCAGTGTGTGGTATTTTGTTACAACAGCTCAAGCTGACTAATGGACGTATCACAACCAAGTCTACGATACCAAATGATTTTTTTTAACCCAGCAAAAAATCTATGCAGACTAAATGAGCTTTTGCTTTTATAGAACAACTTAATTATAAATAGTTGAATAGAACCAGTAATTAACATAAAATGCATAAAAATATTTTCAGGTCAAATGGATGCAAAGTGAAACCTATTAGGCCATTCAGCACAGCCTGACTAAGTTCTGATTCCCTCGGATGTAGAGGGTCTGGGCCTGGAGCTCTCAGTGACCAGCCTGCACTCAGAGTCCCAGACTGTGAGAAAGACCTTTAGGTCCAGGTGCTTGTGACAAACTGAAAACATCAACTCCGTCTTTTCACAAGGCCATGGGAGTCAGTTAGCCATTTGCACACTGAAGGCCAGAACGATTCCTCACCTTTTTGGGGTCCATGTTGAATTTCTTCCTTCCCATGGCTATTTGCTTGTTCCTCTGAGTAGCTTTGCTATTGGTTTTAAACAGTTTTGAAAAATCATTAGTATTCCACAGAGTACAGCAGAATCATGCCCTCTGTTCCTTTTCTACCTCAGGTCAACCTGGGACATAAAGCAGTGGTGTCCTGCAGACCCCACCACCCTTCACTGGTGACACTGTGGCATTTTGTGTTTTTCACAAACAGTAAAACTTCAGAAAGGCTAATGGTGAAAAGTGGGGCCTTTCTAAAAAAAGATTTTAGAGTACTGTTCGTCATGACACAGAAGGTTAATTCAGAGTCCCTCTGCTTATTCCCAAACCTGCAAAGTTGGTGAGGACACTGGAGGCAGGAGGAAGGATGGCCAAAGGCCCTGACTTCCCAGCCCAGCCCCTGTTCCTGCTCTAGTCTCCAGGTAGGGGCCTCAGCTGGAGGGAGGTGGCAGGAATAAAAAAGGGGAGGAGCCTGAACACAGTCACATTTACCTCTCCTCCACTGAAGTCAGGTTGTCAATCTCCGTCATCACTTCTGCAATTTCATATTTCAGCCTCTGTCAGAAAGAAGGAACTGGGTCAGAGGGTATCTTAACTATCCTAGATTCATAGGCTCAGAGACATCCTGATCTTCTCCAGGCACAAGCTTTCTCCAAGATTCAGATGAGCATCACAAGGCCAAAAGCCAACATCTGTACCAGTGAGGTAGACTCAATGTCAGAGGCAGCACAGCACAGAGAACAGAAGCATGCAAGCACACGCTCACATACATGCAAACTCACACACATGCACACTCAAGCACACACTCACATACATGCACACTCAAGCACACACACTCACACACATGCACATTCATGCACACACAAACTCATGCACACGTATACTCATGCATGAACACTCACATGCATGTCCACACACAATCTCCACCTCTAATCACACATATCACAGGGGTCCAACTAGGCAGGCTCTTAAGTAACTGTGTGAAAAATCAAGAAGGAAGTAAAAAATATAAAAGCATGTACAGGCAAGCAAGGGTTCTTAGCTAAATCATGCACTCATCACATGACCAGAGGCATGGGTAGCCTGCATTCTGAGGGAGCAGAAACCTAGAGATGTCTAGATTGACATCAGGTTTGCCAACCAGTCTCATGATTGCCATTTCATAAAAGATGAAACCTCCCAGGGCTAGAGAAATGGCTCAGAAGTTAAGAGCCTGTGCTACTCTCTTTCAGAGAACCTAAGTTCAATCCCTGCACACACATCAGGGATCACAACCACATAGCTCCAATTCCAGGGGATCCCATTCCTCTGGCCTCTATGGGCACCTGCCCTCATGTGCATGTATCCACACACATAGACATAATTTTAAAAAATAAAATTTTAAAGTGATGATTAGTATGATTCTTTTTAAAAGAGTGACACGAAGCCCTAAGGACAAGGCCCAATTCAGAGATATCAGAAACAGAGGGGACAGAAAAGGTTCAATCTCCACTAGCTGGCTTTCCCACTCCTCTGCAGTCAGAGTCCAGGGAAGGGTCCATGTTACGGAGCAGTATGATCACTACTGTCCACATGATATCCATTCTTACTCTTTAGATAAAGGACATCTCTGGTTTGCAGACTTTTCCAAGAATGTGGGCTAATCTTGCAGCCACCAATTACCTCTCAAGTACAGAGACATTTTATTCAGAACCCTATTATGTGTGTGCCAACAAGTTCAGACTTAAACAAGTTCCTAGAAAGGAGCTATTGTCTAGGACAAGGCCTGGTCTGCCCGTGAGGCAACATTTACTTTGGCAATGACAATGACTAGGAAGTTTCTCAAATACCCACACGACTGTCTTTCCTGAGGACGCTCCACACCAAAGGCCCCGGGCGCCTCTGAGTGGTGTCTGAAGCATCACAGATCCCCAGCTCTGAAACTGTAGCTTCACTCATCTCTTGTCCTGTGGGATCACCTCTGCCCTGGCCTCTGAGTCAAGTACACAACTGTGGGAAGGCAGTGTCTACCCATCAGTTTATATCCATCCTTGTTTAAATCTGTTATTCTGTCCTTACCAACTAGGCACATGGTATACAGTTAGAATCCAACATATTCTGTTGTCTGTCCAAAGGACCCAGACTGCCAAAGATACAGCAGGTACCTCTCTAAGTGCCTGGAATAACATACACAGAAAAGGGCAGCATGTATCGGGCTATTGCCACTGTTTACACTAACACTTGTAACTTTGAGGCCACAGGTCAACTACTGGGAATGGTAGTCCCAACAAGGTCTCAATCAGAGCTTGTGCTGTCTGGAATGGACAGTCTTTGCCACACCAGCCTGGAGAAGCCATCTCTTCTGTTTCTGTGCTTCTAACACACAAACACTGAAGACTCAATTTCACATGCTCCTGAAGCTACCCTTTCCAGTACTGGACACAAATCCAAAGGCTAAGACACTCTGCTGTCGCTGTTTTACCTCAATGTCATCAATAAGTTCCTTTTTTCTTCTACGAATGTCCAAAAGTTCTTCTCGCTCTTCTAATGACAGGTCTTCAGGCACTGAAAAGAAGAAGAAAGAAGAAAGAAAGGTCAAGAACTTCTCGAAACCTGGTAAGGCTGTAGACTGGAGGCGGGAGGTTTGGTTGGGAGGTCCCTTACCCTCCTCTGACCCACCCCATAGAGGCTGCCTGCTTCTCTGGAGGAAAACAGAAGCTAAAGGGCACCAACCGCCTCTGTGCACACCTCACCCCATCACAATTCTGATTACTCCAACCTCAAGCTTTATCACAGACCTTCTCCACCACAGAGCCCAGATGAGAGGTTACTGTGGTGGGGAACTTCTCTGTACCCTCTTACAGGCTGTAGTACTTAGACAGACACAGATGCCAACCAGCACGCCCCTGGCACCCAGCAGGAAACAGTGAGCAAGGCTGGCCTGCTGTACTCAGCACTCAGCTACTTCTTAGCCTCTCACTGAAGCTCGGCGTGTGTAACACACAAACCATGCACTGTGCCAGACACACAACAGTAAGAAAGGTCAAAGTGGTTAGACTCTGGGGACTGAGAAATGCAGTGGAAGGCAGCACAGTGCTGGCCGCCCACACTCAGCCCTACCGCAAACCTTGTAGAACTAGGGGCTTCCTTAGGCATAACTATAAAAATACATGCCAATCTCACTAGCCTGGCTGTGGTGAGGGTGTGAGCAGAGCGCGAGGAGCACAAACCAGCAGGAACTTGGGCAACACTCAGGTGCATCAGACAGCAACAAGGACGCAGATGCCATGCCCAGCTGCTTTCCTTTAAGCATATGCAGAAGAACACACTTCAGCAGTGCAGCAGGAAGTGCAGTAATGTTGAAAAAGCACATTTTATAGATTAAAAACTATCCAAGAAGTTAAATACCCATCCACAGTAGGCTGGGTAAATGTGCTAGACTCTCACAGAAGTCCAGTTGCTACAGGCAACTATCAGGTGACTTCAGAACATGTGTGTAGGTATCACATACATTCTTTTATGAACTTCAAGAGCAAAAAATTAAATAATATACTGTTCAGGTATTTTCTTAGTTTTGTTCCCCACTGCCATGATAAAATACCCTGACAAAACCATAGTAAGGGAGAACAGGTATATTTAGCTCACAATTCCAGTCCATTGCTGGAGGGACACCATGCACACGCATGCACAGTCAAGAGCAGAGAGAGTGAGCACGTGTGACCATGCTAGTGCACAGCCTGCTCTTGTCACTCACTAGGACCCAGCCTGTTCATGAACTGGTGCCACCCACACTCACGGGAGGTCTTCCTCACCTCAACCCGATCGAGACATTCCCTCACAGCCATGACCACAAGCCAATCTAATCTAGAGAATTCTTCACTGAGACTTCTTTTCCAGGTGATTCTGTATTACGTCAAATTGACAATTAAAACTAACCACCAATAGACTGAAGAGAAAACCCTGAGATTAAGAACACTGGCTGTTCTTCCAGAGGACCTAGGTTCAAGTCACAGCACCCACATGGTAGACAACAATTTTAACTCCAGCTCAAGGACGCCCAACACCCTCACACAGACATACATACAGGAAAAACACCAAAGCACATAAAATAAACACATCATTTTAAAAAAAGAAAAAACTCATCACAGGCATATACATACATGTCATAAAATAATCAGAACAATGAATACAGAATTTACAATAAGCATGGCCTCTAAGGGAGGGAAGGAAAGGAATCACTGAGAAAGACGAGGAGAGGCCATCTGTCACATCCCTACTTCCTTCTTCCTCTATGTGCTCCACACTGACACATGACCGGTACCTTAGCAGTGTCTTTAGGTGACCTTCCATGCCAAGATACTACTCAGGAAAAGGTTACTGTTCTCCAAAAAGAGGGGGCTATAAAATACCTAGGCCCCTCAAAACACCCGAGGACAGCAATTATTATTCCTATTTTACAACTGAGGCCAAGAGAGACTGAGTGATCTCTCCCCTAGGGGAGAGACACTGAAGACAGAATGGAGCTGGAAAGATGGCTCAGCAATTAAGAGCACTTGCTGCTCTATCAGAGGCTCAGAGTTTGACCCCAGTGCCTATACATCAGGCAGTTTACAAGTGTCCATGACTGTGATTCCAAGGGGCTAGATGGCTCTTCTGGAGTCACTGGATGGACACACACATACACACATGGATAGACAGATAGATAGATAGATAGATAGATAGATAGATAGATAGATAGATAGATAGACAGATAGACAGATAGACAGATAGATAGACAGACAGATAGACAGATAGACAGATAGACAGATAGACAGATAGACAGATAGACAGATAGACAGATAGACAGATAGACAGATAGACAGATAGACAGATAGATAGATAGATAGATAGATAGATAGATAGATAGATAGAATCTTTTAAAGAGAAATAACGGTCTACAATTCAATGTATCTGGTAAACAACAAGAACAGCACAATCCAAGATGTTCAACACATGCCAATCATGACAAACTTAGATTTCCACAAGGTTCCTGGAACCGGTGTCTTCCTTCTGCCTTGCAAAGTGCCAGCTTCATCATGGACCTGCCTTCTGCCCTGCTATATACTCCCCGGTAGCTAAAGCTATGTGCCTCCTCACCCCAGGGCTCCTCCAGCTTCTCCTCAGAAGGTCCCACAGAACCTCTCCTTAATTCTCACTGTCTCAGGCTGCAGGTCTCACTCAGTTCATACCAATCAGCAAAAGGAAGAGACTGTCCAACGCAGAGAGAGAAGACATCTTATACATTTATGTCAAAGAGAAGACATAAAAGCCAGAAACACCCAATACTCAAAAAGATGAAGCGTAAACAAGCACACACTTTTTCTCTTCAAAGATATTACTACAATCATCTACTCTAACAAAGAGAATATTTCTCAAAGTAGTCGGCCTTTAGTGGCATTAACCCGATATTAGTCAACCACAGAGATAAGCCACCTAGAGCAACCCCTAAGAAACCCCTAAGGCTTTTCTTCTGCTGACCTCTCCGACATACACAAGAGTCTACAAGGAAAGAGCTGCAGATTTCAATCTTCTAAGAAAACGGTCTGCCTCCTTCTGCCCTGGAGACAAGAAGGCTGCTAAGCATGGACAAAGAACGGAAATGCCTGGATGTTTTCATCCTAAAGATGCCAATGCTAGTCCGTCGGAACCTTTCTACAGACTGCCTGGATTTCTCTCTTCCTCCAGTGCCTGTCATAGCCTTTAAAGGCAACGAGGCACTACACAACAGAGTACTGCTCACTCACGTTACCAAGAATTCCAAACCAAACCTGCTTGTCTTAAAAAGAGAGGAGCTGGAGAGGTAGCCGGAGGTAGGATGCTTCTGGCCAAACCAAACCTGAGTGTGAGCCCCAGGATCCACGTGATAGAAGGAGAGGACTGACTCCTGTATGTGTAGCATGGCATGCACACACACATGTGCACACACACACATGCACACACACACTCACACACTCACAATGTAATTTTTAAAAGATAACTTTTGTCAGGTAGGATAATGATGTTGCAGTTCTGAGGGAAATACCCCTATTTTCTAGAGATTTATACCCAAGTATTTTGTGATATAAGACTATTATATTTAAATTTTACTCTCAAACACTTCAGAAAAAATTGAGCAAGCTAAAAATTGCTGAATCTATTTGATTTGTTATCAGTTCTACATTCAAAGTTTGAGATTTCTAGGCAGGGTATGTGGGGCACGCCTCTAATCCCAGCACTCAGGAGACAGCAGCAGGTGGATCGCTGTGAGCTCAATAGCAGCCTGGTTTTCATATCAAGTCCCATGCCAGCCAAGACTACATTGTGAGACTGTCTCTGGGAGTAAGGTGGAAGAGGAGAAGAAAGGAAAAGAAAAAAAATTAAAATTTCTCATAATAAAAAGTGACTCCTCCCTCCGCCAAAAACCTCTTTTGACTTAAATAGCTAGCAGCATCTCTTCTCGTAACATCTTCTGAGGTATTTGGCAGAAACAGGCATAATAAACAAGAGAGATTCTTCCACACATTAGAAAGACTAACAGTGCTGGGCTGTGTAACCCAGTGTATGTGTTAAAGCAAAGGGTAAAAGAACATGATCCACTGTCCATGGACAATGTCTGCACTTCCTCTTACACCTTGCATGATGTCACGTTGTCGGGTGCCAGGATGCACCATGAACATGGCAACCACTGTTTGGTAGCACCCCAGCATCTCTCTGCAGGCTATTTCATACGCCCAGCTGCAATGTGGCGAGTAGAATGGCAGGGGACGCTGAGGGAAGTCTCGTTAATGCTACAGACCTTCCCCAGCAGCAGCACTGCAGTCCTTGCTTGGACTCACTCTGACACCCTGGGCTCTGCCTTGTCACTTGAGTCTTTGGCTTAGGAGAAGTAAAGGTATCGTAATGAAAAATACTTCCTCCAACTTCAAGTAAGAAAAAAAAGGCGACGGTGTCCTTCCAGCAGTCTTTAACATTTGGGTCTTCCATTTTGTAAGAGGTATTCAATAGAAGGAGGGGCTTGAAGCCATTTGCCTGTGAGTTGAATTTTCAGCACAGGTCAGGGTGTGCCTGGTGGTCATCTGATATGTCACTGCTTCTCCTAAGTGTGACATCAGCTTGAAGTCAGACTCAAGGTAGTGCAGTGAAGAACAATCAACACACAGTTCTGTCGAGCACTGCTGGCTTACAGGGATCTCTGCTGGGAGTTCAGGATGTTGCTCCCATCTCTTGGAAGGTGGATCTGCACGATTTCCATTACACCCTATGGAATGGGGACAGTTCACTTGGAGTGTCTCAGGAGCCCCTGCACTCTTGCTCGCAATGTCCGCAGACACTGCTCAGCTGGCGGTCAGGCTCCCTGTACACGCTTTTGTTGTGCACGTTTGTTGTGTCGACTGTGCGTTTGTGCATCCCCCTAATTCCTGTAACTTATTTTACTGTCACCAGCCCTTGGAATGTCTTACTAGAAAACTGTCAAATGTCAGTTCATTAGAGGAGAAGCACTCCATTGCGGTCAAGCTTTCTGGGCATCACTAATTAAGTCTCTGGTG